TTAAAGACATCAAGATACTTCACCCCAAGCACTTTAGCCAGTATCTCCTAATAAAGACATCTCTTAAGAATAAGGACATTCTTCAATGGACTAAATGCTCCAATCAAAAGACAGAGAGTGGCTTATTGGATAAAAAAAGAAGATGCATATACATGCCGCATACAAGAGGCAAACTTAAGACCTAAAGACACACACAAACTGAAAAGTGAGGGGATAGGAAAAAATACTCCATGCAAATGGCAATGAAAAGAAAGCTGGGGTAGCAATACTTATATCAGACAGACAGACTTTAAAACAACAACTGGAACAAGAGACAAAGAAAGGCATTACCTAATGATAAAGGGAACAACCCAACAAGAGGATATAACACTTGTAAATATCTGTGCACCCAACATAGGAGCACCTAAATATATAAAGCAACTCTAACAGACATAAAAGGTGAAAAAGACAGTAACACAATAATAGGAGAGGACTTTAACACTCCCTTTATACCAATGGATAGATCATCCAAACAGAAGACCAACAAGGAAACACTGCCTTAAACAATACATTAGACCAGGTGGACTTAGTAGACATACATAGAATATTCCATCCAAAAACTGCAGAATACACACTCTCTTTGAATGTAAATGAAACATTCTCCAGGATAGATCACATATTAGGCCACAAAACAAGTCTCAATAAATTAAGACGGAAATAACACCAAGCATCTTTTCTGACCACAGCAGTATGAAACTAGAAATCAACTAAAGGAAGAAAATTGGAAAAGCCACAAATATGTGGAGACTAAACAAAATGCAACTAAACAATGATAGGGTCAATAAAGAAATCAAGGAGAAATCAAAAAATATCTGGAGACAAATGAAAATGAAAATACAACATGCCAAAATTTATGGGATACAGCAAAAGCAGTTCTAAGAAGTTTATAGCAATACAGTTCTACCTCAAGAAACAAGAAAAATTTCAAAAAAACAATCCGACGGTGCACCTAAAGGAGTTAGAAAAAGAAGAACAAACAAAGCCCAAAATCAGTAGAAGGAAGGAAACAATAAAAATCAGAGCAGTAATAAATGAAATAGAGAATTAAAAAAATAGAAAAAGATCAATGAAACGAAGGTTGGTGCCTTGAAAACATAAACAACATTGACAAACTTTTAGCTAGATTCACAAAGAAGAAAGAGAGAAGGCTCAAGTAAATAAAATCAGAAAAGAAGGAGGAGAAATTACAATGCATACTTCAGAAATACAAAAGATGACAGGAGACTACTACAAAAAGCTATATGCCAACAAATTGGATAATCTAGAAGAAGTGAACAAATTCTGAGAATTATACAAACTTCCAAAACTGAATCAAGAAGAAACAGAGACTCTGAATAAACCAATTACCAGTAAGGAGATCAAAACAGTAATCAAAAACTTCCCCAAAAAATAAAAGTCCAGGACCAGACGGCTTCCCTGGTGAATTCTACCAAACATTCAAAGACGACTTAATGCCTATCCTTCTCAAACTCTTACAAAAAATTGAAAAGGAAGGGAAGCTTCCTAACTCATTCTACAAGGCCAAGATTACCCTGATACCAAAACAAGACTAGGACAACACAAAAAAAGAAAATTACAGGCCAATATCACTGATGAACATCAATGCAAAATCCTCAACAAAATACTAGAAAAAGAAAACAATAATACATGAAAAAGGTCACACACCATGATCAAGTGGGATTTATTCCAGGGAATGCAGCGATGGCTCAACATCTGCAAATCAATCAACATGATACACCACATTAAGAAAATGAAGAATAAAAACCACATGATCATCTCAATAGACTCGGAGAAAGTATTCGACAAGATACAGCATCCATTTATGATAAAAACTCTGAATAAAATGGGTATAGAAGGAAAGTACCTCAACATAACAAAGGCCATATGTGACAAACTCACAGCTAACATCATACTCAATGGAGAAAAACTGAAAGCTATCCCTCTAAGAACAGGAACCAGACAAGGATGCCCACTTTCACCATTCTTATTTAGTATAGTGTTAAAGTCATAGCCAGAGCAATCAGGCAAGAAAAAGAAATAAAAGGGATCCAAACTGGAAAGGAAGAAGTGAAACTGCCACCATTTGCAGATGACATGATTTTATATAGCGAAAACCCTAAAGAATTCACCAAAAAACTTTTAGAAATAAATGGACATGGTAAAGTTGTAGGATACAAAAATCTGTTGCATTTCTACACACTAACAATGAAGTAGCAGAAAGAGAAATTAAGAATATAATCCCATTTACAATTGCAAAAAAAAGAATAAAATACCTAGGAATAAATTTAACTGAAGAGGTGAAAGACCTGCACACTGCAAAGTATAAAACATTGTTGAAAGAAATTGAAGAAGACACAAAGAAATGGAAAGATATTCCATGCTCTTGGATTGGGAAAATTAACATAGTTAAAATGTCCATACTTCCGAAAGCAATCTACAGAGTCAACGCAGACCCTACCAAAGTTCCAATGACATTTTTCACAGAAATAGAACAAAGAATCCTAAAATTTATAGGGAACAACAAAAGACCCCGAATAGCCAAAGGAATCCTGAGAAAAAAGAACAAAGCTGGAGGCATCACACTCCCTGATTTTAAAATACACTATGAAGCTATAGTAATCACAACAGCATGGTACCGACACAAAACAGACACACAGATCAACAAAACAGAATTGACAGCCCAGAAATAAACCCACACATTTATGGACAGCTAATTTTCAACAAGGGAGCCAAGAACATATAATGGAGAAAGGAAAGGTTCTTCAATAAATGGTGTTGGGAAAACTCGAAAGCCACATGCAAAAGAATCAAAGTAGACCATTATCTTCCACCATACACAAAAGTTAACCCAAAATGGATTAAAGACTTGAATGAAAGACTTGAAACCATAAAAATTCTAGAAGAAAACATACGCAGTATGCTCTTCAACATCAGTCTTAGCAGCATGTTTTCAAGTACCATGTCTGACCAGGCAAGGGAAACAACAGAAAAAATAAAGAATATGACTACATCAAACTAAAAAGCTTCTGTACAGCAAAGGAAACCATCAACAAAACAAAAAGACAACCTAACAATCGAGAGAAGACATTTGCAAACCATATATCTGATAAGGGGTTAATATCCAAAATATACAAAGAATTCACACATCTCAACAACAACAACAAAAAAACCCAATTAAAAAATGGGCAAAAGATCTGAACAGACATTTTTCCCAAGAAGATATACAGATGGTCAACAGGCACATGAAAAGATGTCCAACAACTAATTAACAGGGAAAATGTAAATCAAAACTACAACGAGATATCACCTCACCCCCATCAGAATGGCTATAATTAACAAGACAAGAAATAACAAGTATTGGAGAGGATATGGAAAAAAGGGAACTCTCATATACTGCGAGTGGGAGTGCAAACTGGTGCAGCCACTATGGAAAACAGTATGGAGATTCCTTTAAAAATTAGGAATAGAACTACCATACGATCCAGCTATTCCACTGCTGAGTATTTACCCAAAGAACATGAAAACACGAATGCATTAAGACATATGCACCCCTGTGTTCACTGCAGCATTATTCACAATAGCCAAGACTTGGAAGCCCAGGTGCCCATGAAGGGACAAATGGAGAAAGAAGACATGGTATTTATACATAACGGAATACTACTCAGCCATAAAAAAAGATGAAATCATGACATTTGCAACAACATGGATGGACCTTGAGGGTATTACGCTAAGCAAAATAAGTCAGAAGCAGTAAGCCAAATACCATATTATCTCACTCATAAACAGAAGATAAAAACAACAACAAACAAACACATAGAGACAGAAATTGGATTGGGGGTTACCAGAAGGGAAGCAGGGAAGGAAGAGGGTGAAAGGGGTGATTCGCACGTGTGTATGGTGATGGATGATAATTGGTCTTTGGGTGGTGAACATGATGTAATCTACACAGATATATTGAAATATAATGATGTACACCTGAAATTTATATAATGTTATAAACCAATGTTATCTCAATTAAAAAAAATTTAAGCATTTAAAAAAATTACATTCTCTTATATGTTTTCACTATCATTATCAAGCCTAAGAAAATTAATAGTAATTCCAAAATGTTGTCTAATATACAGTCTCAATTTAAATTTCCCCAATTGTTATCAGTTTTCCCCCAATCCAGGATCCAATCAAGGTTCACGCGTTATTTTTGGTTATGTTTCTTTCGGTCTTCCTCCTCTAGAACAGTTCCCCTTGTTTTTTGTTCTTTCTAACATTGACTTTTTTTGAAGAGTACAAGCTGGTTGTCCTATAGATTGTCCCACATATGGATTTATCTCACTAGTTCTCCCACGGTGTCATTTAACTTGCTCCAGTACTCCTTATGTTTCCAGTATACTAGAAGTTAGGGCCAGAAGCTTGATTCAGGTGAAACATTTTTGGCACAAATACTTCACACATGATGTTGTGTAATAATACATGCTATCAGTAGACACAAAATGTCAGATTGTTGCACTATTAGTGATGCTAAGGTTGACCACTTGGTTAAGGAAGTGACCACCAAATCTGTCAACTATAAAAGGACATTTTGCCCAGTATAATTAGGTAGTAAGTCATTTGTGGCATGACACTTCAAGTCCATGTGAATATCTTAGTTTGCAACAACCTTTCACCCAATGGTTTTGGTTATCTATTGATGATCCTTGACCAAATCAATTATCACACTGAGGGTTGGACTACTACGAAATCTTTAACCTGTGCTATGTGTATTGCTATTTATGAGGAGAGATACAGTATAAGGAAAGGTAAAGAGGGTAAGTCTAGGACTGTTAAATTCTGGCTACATAGAAGAATCCTTGAATCTCTGGTGAGCTTTTTAAAAATACCAGATCAACTGGACCAGAATGTCTGGGGTGGTATCCGGGCATTGATATTTTTTAAAAAGCTACCAAGGGATTCTAAAGTGTACTTACCAACTGTGTAACTTTTCTGTCCTTTGGGAATAAAAACTACAACTGTCTCTGAGATAGATACTTTAAATATTCCTGAAATAGATATTAGATGTGTTGTAAGCATTAAATAATTAAACATAATAAGTACTAACTTTAAAGTATTTAGAAAGGGCCGAGTACACAGTAAATGCTCAATAAATATCAGTGATTATTATGTGAAAACACATTTACAGGTATGCATGTATACAAAAACATATCTAGGTATATCCTAATATACACATATGCACTTAACAATACAACTTCAAAATATAACAAGCCACAAGACTGCAGGAGAAATAAATAAATCAAAATTTATAGACATATATTTTCAAACATCCCTCTGAGAAACTGACAGATTAAGTACTTGAAATAATAAAGATCTTATGAAGAGAAGAACAATATAATTATGTATTAAGTTTTTGGATATATATACCACATCTTTCTTTCAAAGCATACATGGAATATCTAGAAATAAAGACCATGTAATAAACTATAAAGGAGGCTTCAATAAATTATAAAGCATTAACAACTTACAGGCCCTCTTCTTTGACCATAATACAAAAAAATTAAATACTGACATCAAAAGAATAGCAAAAAGGGGGCTGGCCCAGTGGTGCAGCAGTTAAGTTCACACGTTCCACTTTGGCAGCCCAGGGTTCACCAGTTCGGATCCCAGGTGCAGACACAGCACCGATTGGCAGGCCATGCTGTGGCAGGCATCCCGTGTATAAAGTGGAGGAAGATGGGCATGGATGTTAGCTCAGGGCCAGTCTTCCTTAGCAAAAAAAAAGGGAAGATTGGCAGCAGTTGTTAGCTCAGGGCTAATCTTCCTCAAAAAAAAAAAAAAAAAAGCAAAAAGAAGAAAAAAAGAAAAGAAATTTAATAGCCTTAATAAATAACCAATTCTAGTTACAGAAGCAATCATAAAGGAAATTAAATATTTAGAACTAATAAAAATACTGCATGTCAAAATCTGTAGAATAGAGTTAAAGAAGTATTTAGATGGAAATTTATAGCTTTAAAAACATTTCAAAGGACACAAGAAAGGTTAAAATTAACAAGCTAAATATTCAACTCAAGAAGTTGGGAAAAGGGCAAAAAAGCAAACCCCAAAAATAAGGAATTAAATTAAATAACAAGGATAAGTTAGGCAAATATCAATGATATACAGAACATCATCATGAACAATAAACACAGAAAAATAACACAAGTAAAAGGCATGTCCCTTGAAAAGATTAATAAGATAGACCTCTGGCAAGCAAGAGTTATCAAGAAAAAAGAGAGAAGATTCAAATAATTGCAATATAGAATGAAAAGAGAGGGAAAAGCACAGACACAAAGTTTTTAAATAATTAAAGAATATTAAAGAGTATTAGGAACCTCTATATGCTAATAAATTCGAATGGATAAATTCCCATTAAATTGTGCCAAAATTGGCACAAAAAGAAATAGAGAACTTGAACACACCAATTCGTATGAAAGAGATTAAAAGAACAAAGATCTTGCCTCCTGAAAAATAGCAGATACAGATAATTTCACAATGAGTTCTAACAAATTTTAAGGAACAGTTAATTCCCATCCTATACAAGCTGTTCTGGAAAAACAGGCAACAGTCAAAACCAACAAGGACATTTCATGATACGAATATAATCTTGATTCTAAAAATCAGATAATGACAAGAAAATGATAGGCCCATTTAACATGATACAAAAATCCTACAGTAAGTATTACCTAAGTAAATCCAATAATGTATTTAAAAAAGTAATAATACATTGGGATTAAGTAGGATTTATCCTAAAAATTCAAGGACAGTTCCACATCAGAAATAGATTTAGAGGAGAGAAATTTCAATCAATAAAGAATCAGCATCATAAAGTTCAGCAAAGAGCAAACCTGTGGAGTTAATAAAAGATTACACGGGAGAATAACTACGTGACCTAAGAACAGGGAAAAACATACAAACCCATAAAGGATATGATTAACTTTATCACATTTAAATTAAGGAGTTTTGTTCAATGAAAGACACTACAGATAAAGTTAAGAGACAAATGACAATGACAGAATGGCAGAAGATACTTGTAATGCCTAAAAAGGTTAAGGATTATAGAGGATAGATAAGAAATTCCTGCAAATAAACAACAGAACAGTAACCCTGACAGAACAAAGGACAAACGATATGAAAAGGAAATTCACAGAACTTAATCTAGACTACAAAAATTAGAGCGCTGGGGGACCACCCCCATGGCCTAGTGGTTAAGTTTGGTGCACTATGCTTCGGCAGCCCAGGTTTGGCCCCTGGGCATGGACCTATACCACTTGTCAGCAGCCATGCTATGGCAGCGACTCACATACAAAATAGAGGAAGACTGGCACAGATGTTAGGTCAGGGCATATCTTCCTCAAGTAAAATGAGGAAGATTGGCAACAGATGTTAGCTAAGGGTGAATCTTCCTCAGCAAAAACAAAACAAAACAAAAATTAGAAAGCTAGATAATTCCAACTGTTAGCAGGAATAGAAGCTGTAAGAAGCCTCATGCACTGCTAGTGGCAGTATATACAGGGATAATCATTCCAGCTTGAGTCAAAGCCTCAGTTAATAAAGAACTACCCCTCTGCCTTGCTTTATCCTCTGTGCATGTATTTCTTTTGGGGACTTCACAGGGAAGAATGGCTGGTCTAGCATAGGATTTGGGTCTCAGACGTTGTAGGTCCTGACCATCTATCTCTACTTCAAACACACTTGATATGATTGCCTTGTCCACTCAGTCTAAAAGACAGGGAAGCAAAAGATTGCTACTCTATCCTTCTAACATAGGTCTGGACAAGGCTTTACTTTTTTTTAAATGAGATTTTAAAAGATCGGCACAAAAGCATGGTCCAAAAATTGTTGTTGATGAGGAATTACTATATATTTAATTTTTAATATAATTTCTGAAGCAAACACGACTGTCTTCTAGTTGTACTAACATCATTATACACAGTGGAGAGCCGAGAAACAAAAAGGATAGGGAAGATTTGATCTCAGAATCTAGAAAGATTCACAAAAAGGAAATGAAGAAATTTAGCTCTGACAAAGAAAGGTTTCCAGATAGTCAGGAGAAAGAGTTCTTGGGATTTCAGTAACCCCGAAGAATCACAGGAGAATAATCATACGGGTCTGTTTTTCTCGGCCAAAGGGAAATACAGTTGCTTTTTACCCAAGGAAGTTCGGGAATTAAACTTAGGTATTGAACAGTCCTGTCATTGGAAGGAGACAAATCTTAAGTGGGGAAAAAAGTGCTCTTTCTGACTCCTGAAGTTGACATGGGAGGCCCCAGGAGTAGTAGTAATCGATGGATTCAAACCTCAGAAAAGATCGAGGATTCCATGTGGATTCTCCCTTCAGCAAAGAGCTGAAGGTGGCCAAGAGAGAGAAGAGAGAAGTGAAAGGGTCACCGGCTCCACATTCAAACCCATGTTAAGTTATCAGGGGACCAGTTGAGGCTTGTCTCCAGACCAGAAAACTGAACAAGATCTCTGGCAGACCTACTAGGCTAGAGAACAGGAAATGTACATCACAACCTGATTAGGTCATGATCACCAAGAGTCAGAGGCCAAAACTGCTCTTAAAATCCCAATGATGAAAGACACAGAGCTACTGGTTCACCTAGCCATGAGGATTTTCATCCTTTGGAGTTTGTTAACCAAGCAACCGTTATCCAAATATTTGATACCAAAGAAAATTTATCTCGGTTGTTCCCAGTCTCTACACAGACGGCAGACTTCTGTGCTGACAACAAAGCAACTGCCTGAAAAGTGCTAACAACTCAGTCCAGGAGGCTGGGGGACTGGACCGACAAAAGGGGCCCAGGTCTTTGGCCCACTCTCTCTCAGGGGCTGAGGATGATGCAGATCCACGCTGTCTTTCTAGAAGAAACTACTGTGTAGGTCTGAGATGGCCAGAGAAACTTTTCTCTTACTGCAATGACAGGCACTTGCTGCAGACAGCTGGAGCTATCTGCTCACTTACCAGAGAAACTAGTAGTTATCATAAAGATACGATGGTTCCTGGGCAAATAGGGAGATACAATGCATACACACGCAATATGTAATATTTGCTTTGGATAAAGAAACATGATATTAAAACAAGAATAAACAAAAAGCACTCTTTTGAACACTAGTGTGAACGAGGATTAATAATCCCTTTGCAATTACAACACAAAGCAAAGAACTTTCTAGATGTCTTAGGAAAAGTTTATGATGTTCTTAAGGTTATGGTTTGTTTCAATAACAAATTTCAAAACCTTAAATGGTGCAAAAAGTACTAACATCTTAACTGTAGCCAGATTTTATATTATCCAGAGAAGAGAAGCTAGTTGAAATATCCTAAAAAACACTATGATTTTTAAAAGAGCAAATTGCAATTTTACTAAATATCAAGAGGGCAAGAAATGAGAAACAGCCATGTGGTTTCACAAACTCTCTATTTAAAGGCTAACAGGAAAAAGAAATTTGTACCAGATACTGAGGGAAGGATTAAGGCTGTTCCCTCAGTCAGGGCTAGTAAGGAAGCAATATAAATAACAGTAGGATAGGAAGACCGCAAAAAGAGCAAGGAAATAACATGCATACAGTGGATTTGTAAGGCACTCAGTGATATTTAGTTGTAAGAGAAAAGGAAAAGGATTACAATAGAGGACAAATCAAAAGCATGTTTGGCCTAAGAATCTCCCAAACAAAGGGCACAGTGAATTATCACTATATGCCCAGGCATCAGTTCTGCCATCACTTCTATCCATCAATGTTTCCCTGCCCTTGTATTAGCACCAACCACTAACGAGAAATCAAGGCATCTTATTCCTCAACTTGGAGCCCAGGGGAAAAGAGGCTGCTGAGGTCTGCCAAGTCCAATCACCAGAGCTAGGTTTCCATGAAACAGTTTTGAGCCAAATACTCAATAAGTTTTAAAGTGCTCCCTTGCCTGGCTTTGTCCTGCAAGTATCTCTCTACCTTGGTGATCTTGCTGATGAAAGATTTAGCTATTTAGGGTCCTGGTTGTTTCCCTCTCTTCTCATAGAAAAGACATGATTCACAGTACTGACGCCATTATGATAATATACATGCACACTCAGAAGAGGATCACAGTATCCAACTGTTTTGGTTTTTTTTTTTAAAGATTGGCACCTGAGTTAACATCTGTTGCCAATCTTCCTTTTTTTAATTTTTCTTCTTCTCCTCAAAGCCCCCCAGTACACACTTGTATATTCTAGCTGTAGGTCCTTCTGGCTGTGCTATGTGGGATGCCGTCTCAGCATGGCCTGATGAGCAGTGCCATGTCTGCACCCAGGATCCAAACTGGCGAAATCCTGGGCCACTGGAAGGAGAGCGCACGAACTCAAGCACTCCACCATGGGGCCGGCCCCTACCCAACTGTTTTTAAATAAAGAAAGAAGAAATATCAGAAGAATGAAATTTCAAGGAATAATATCCAAATGAAACCGGCTGGGCCCTGAACAGTGAAACCACTAGTTATCTAACCAGGCCACAAAACAAAAGGAACCTGGGTGCCCTCAGGTCCATACACCTGGTGGAGCAGTGAGGAAGCAGGAGCCTCTTCATTCAAAAAGAATTTCAAAGTTGGAAAGTCCTTCTGAATGAGCAGTACTTGGCACCAGAAAGCAACACATGCTTTCAGAAAATGCTCACTGCCCAGGTCACAACCTCGCCAGCAGTGGAGAAACGGGGTGATCCTCATGCAGTCACTTCCTGAAAGCACCCCCAGCTTTCTTCAGGATGTCAGCGAGGTGTGCTCACCAGTCCCCATCACAGGGTGTCTGCTGAGCATCCTCCTTTAGTAACCTTCTGGCATTTCTTCTGGCTTTTCAGGGGGACTGTGCCAGAAAGTTCTTCCTGATAAAAAAGCTCATAGTCTAGTCAGCCTAGCCAGGTCAATCTTTTCCATTTAATGGTACACATAAAACTCAATTTGCCTGGAAAATATACTCCCTGTATTTAAAACTTCTTAGAAATCTATACATTGAAATATTCCAGTTTTCACTGCTACTTTCCCTTAAGTTTCCCAGAGTGTGGTCAAGTAGGGCCAGTGGTCACAGCTCCTCGCCCATGTGTTTGCAATTGCTCTCTTCTGCATCCAGAGGACCCATGTCTTAGATTTTGATCAGAGAAAATAAGACTAGATTTTTTAAAAGTTTAAAATCAAAACACTCTGTAAAGATAATCTGCTAATCAAATTTAAGGTGATCCATTCCCACCATCAATGACAGAAACACTTTTAAAGTGTAATGAATTAAAGCAAAATCCAAGGTAAAATGAAGTGCTTTTTTGTAAGGATTTTAAAGATGGGTTTAATTCTGCTCATATCAACCACAGGGTGAGATTTGGCTCATCACAGAAAATTTCAAGGTTAGCTATCACGACAATTCAAAACTTATTAGGAAATGACAACCACAACCACTGACTTAACAAACCACCAGCAAGCAGCATGTTCATCCCCTCCGCATAACCAGCAGCTGGAAGTCTGTCAAATATCCCCGTTGCCCAAAAGCTGTCACACGTCACAAACTGGGATGAGGGCCAGCCCCAGTAGCCTAGTGGTTAAGTTTAGTGTGCTCGAGTTTGATTCCTGGGTGCGGATGTACATCCCCCTTGTCAGTGGCCATGCTGTGGTAGCAGCTAACATACAAAAAAAGGAAGACTGGCAACAGATGTCAGCTCAGGGAGAATCTTCCTCAGCAAAAAAAAAAAGAAAGAAAGAAAAAGAAATTGGGATGATACCAATTGCATTATGTCATTAATTCTGTAGCACAAAGAGAATTCCAATACTTAAAACAATCAGTTTAGGGGCTGGCCCCGTGGCCGAGTGGTTAAGTTCGCACGCTCCGCTGAAGGTGGCCCAGTGTTTCGTTGGTTCAAATCCTGGGCGGGGACATGGCACTGCTCAACAAACCAGGCTGAGGAAGCGTCCCACATGCCACAACTAGAAGGACCCACAACAAAGAATATACAACTATGTACTGGGGGGCTTTGGGGAGAAAAAGGAAAAAATAAAATCTTTAAAAAAAAACCCAAAACAATCAGTTTACTAAAATAAAATGTCAGACAGAGGCCTGGTACTCACCTTTTTCATGAAGACAAACCGAGAGTTTCTTAACACCATCAACAAGAATATTTTGTGTGTTGCCATGTCCATCTTCTGAGTCGCTGTCATCAAACTGAGCCTCTATAATGACATCAGGACTGTCATTATAGCCTTTCAGGGACTGTTGTGGGAGAAGGCTTCCACAGAGCTCCTCAGGGAGATATGATTCATAGGCACCTTCTGTTTCTTTGTCATTGCTGTCTGGTTTAATTACCTGAAGAAAATAGAAAGGTCTGCTAAATCACTGGAGGGAAGAAAGGGAAAAAGCCTATTTTCCTTTCCTAAGGAAAAAACTACACATTCAGAAGCTCACAGCACTGGACACTCACCAGGTAGTTTGAAAAAGGATCTTTATTTTCCAGATGCACAGACTACGTTATGGAGCTGATTGATCCAGCAGTGCCAGGTTGGCACTGAGCTCTTCAAGATGCCCAAGATTAAAGCCATATCCACTTCTCATTTTTCTGAAGTACATGTTCATCACCTCTCCCTCAAAGGGATTGTATTTCTGAAGATCAGAAATACAATGCTGCTTCACAAGGGTTCATCACATGGGATCAATTAGTACACTGGGAAATGATAAAGGAACTCAACATACATAGTATGTCACTGCACTCTCAAATGAAACCACAAGAATACAAAGTAAAATGGAAAAGAAATTGTGTGAACAAGAGTTTACAAAATGTTCTAGGGGCCAGCCCAGTGATGCAGCAGTTAAGTGCGCACGGTGCACTTCGGCAGCCCAGGGTTCGCTGGTTCGGATCCCACTTGAGGACATGGCGCCGCAGGACAAGCCATGATGTGGCAGGCGTCCCATATATAAAGTAGAGGAAGATGGGCATGGATGTTAGCTCAGGGCCAGTCTTCCTCAGCAAAAAGAGGAGGAATGGCAGCAGTTAGCTCAGGGCTAATCTTCCTCAAAAGAAAAAAAAAAGTTCTCATAAAAAATATAAACACTTAATTCTCCATTTTGAGGCCTGAAATCAGCAGAGAGAGCATACAACTGATGGACATTTACACTAGAAATAAGAATAAAGCATTACACAACATGTCAAATATTTTCTTTTTTTTTTTCCTGAGGAAAATTAGCCCTGAGCTTAACATCTGCCACCAATCCTCCTCTTTTTTGCTGAGGAAGACTGGCCCTGACCTAACATCCGTGCCCATCTTCCTCTATATGTGGGATGCCTGCCACAACATGGTTTGACAAGCAGTGCACAGGTCCGCATCCAGAATCAGAACTGGCAAACCCCAGGCCACCAAAGCAGGACACGCAAACTTAACCGCTGCACCACCAGGCTGGCCCCTCAAATATTTTCAATTAAAAAAAGAATGAAGCAAATAGGAGAAAAAAACCTAGATACTAATCCATTTAATGAGTTTGTCACATGACAGTACTCTTTGGTTTCTATGGGTATTATATTAAAACACACCAGGTGTTTAGTCGCTGAAAAAAAAAAGGCTATCCTATATAAAAATCTTCCCATCTACATTAGCAAAAAAGAAAGTAGATTTTGTAGGTTCTAGATGTTACTTAGAACACCACATCCTTTTAAGAATACATTTCTGGATGAGAAACCCAGTGAAATTTAAACATATATATTTAAACATACATAATTAAAATGTGATCACATATGTATATATATGAATGTAAAAAAGATCAATATTGGTAGCACATTCATTTCATTCTTTCAAACAAATGCTGGAAGGCTAACCTCGTGCCAGGCATCCTCATGAAGACTACGTTCTAGTGGGGAGACGGATGGTGAACAATTTTCTCATTCAACAAATCATTACGGAGTACCTTTCATGGTGCCAGGCACTGTTCTAGGCGGCAGATACAGAAATGTACACACTCAAAATGGTCTAATAGTGATAAGTTCTAGTAAAAACATACATAGTAAAAACAACGTTAGTTCTGAGAGAGTGAGGCTGGTTTCCCAGCAGGGTGTTTAGGAGGTGCCTCCCGGAGGAAGTGACCTTTGAGCAGAGACCTGAATGAAGCGAATGAGCTCTCTAACAGTTTCTCTGTCCTTATATTTGAAAACCTAATATTTTTCTGAGTTTAATCTCGAGGTTTCAAAATAGATACCTGCCTTCAACAAACCAGATTCACGTTCAAATTAGATCACACAGAGATCACGCTTGATGAAAGATCCTCATCTTACACAAGACAGAAAAAGTTATTAAAAGAAATCTTTCCCAAAACATCTTCATGTCACAGATTCCAATTAATATAACCATCTCCAGACAATTAATATTATAACATCCACCCAGAAAATCTTACTAAAATATTACAAAGATATTCACAACTAGAATATAGACTTTAAAAATAGATTCCCAAAGTTTTTAAAAAATTGACTTCATGAAGATGTGGTAACAGAAAAACATGTAAATAATGGTTAATTATTCTGAGCAAAACTGTGTCTTCTAATAGTTTTTGAAAACTTGATTCCCAATTTCTGAATATATTTAATGAAATTTTCTTTCAACTCTTGCCATGTTTTCAGTCATCAGATTCACTCATTCATTCGTTCAATCTTTCATTCATTTGTTCATTCTTCCCATAAGAAGTTTAAAACAAACAAGGCTCCTTTTCTTTGATAGTGGGGGAAAAAAAAAATGTTTAGCCAGAAATCCCTAAAAAGATTCCCTCAGGCCCCTTCCTACATAAGAACATATGAGTGAAGCCACAGCTAAGTCTTTCAGTTAATATTACAATTATAAAACCAGCTCTCCTCTGTGCACTTCTGCCTTCTCACGTAAGTCCTGTTTTCACACATGACCCAAAGAAGATCATTCAAAAAGTAGAGAATTTACTGACAATTAGAGAAGAAAGAGAATTTGACATCACTCAAATCAGCAAACCTATTCAATTCCCTTAAATGTGCCTGGCAAATTCAAGAACATTTAGGAAGATCTGCCCCTGACCATCCTCAAAGAATTAGCACAACTTTGGGTGTTGTCAGGAGAGCACACAGCACAGGCAGGAGGCACGGTGCACACCCTGTGTCTAAAGCATAGCGGCTACAACATGACCACTGGTCTACTGTTTTTCTCCATCATCCCCACACATACTTTCTCTCAGAGGAAGAAGAGCCGGGGGCAGAGGTGAAAGAAAACGACATGCTGGAGTTAGACGAGCAGGTAAAAGGTAGTCTTCCAGTAAGAGTTAAAAAAAGGGTCCAGGTCTTTGGTTTCTATTACGTATTTATTTCTGCCATTAATGGTTTCACAAAGAATTTGGTTCCCACAGGCCATAGAGAAAATATTACAAGGGGAACCAGAATTCTGACTTTCTAAAATTTAAAGGCTTTAACTATCCCACAATGAAAGGTGGTTTTTCTCTTTGTACGTATACATATGTATGTAAATTATAACGAGAATTCTGTAATCACCAGGATTCTGCCTACCTCCTTATTAACAATTATGCTTTGGCTCACATATACAAAGTTCAAGGAAAAGTCAAGGGGAAGAACAGGTCAGTGGAAAGCAATAATCAGAGTACAGCAGGCTTAACTGGATAGCACATTTTAACACCAACCCAACCATAATCTCCACAGTTTAGATTAGCTACACTCAAGAATTTAAGGCCTAAATTTTAGGCCTTAAATTCACTTTTGAGTTACTAAAGCAAAATATGCTGTAAGGTAGCAGGACTTAATGAATAAATCAAGTCATCTAAAACTGTGTAATTAAAATATAAATTAATATGTTGCATTGTAAAAGTATTTTCATTCTATTTTGTCATCCCAGTAGACCCAAGAATAGAACAAATGGTAAGAGGAAAAGAGATGATCATAAGATCGCAGGATACAAACAGCACTCTAAAACCATTCCTTATCACATACTGGTTAAGAGTGAGGCTTGCAGGACTCCTTAGAAAAATGGCTCATTCAAATCTGGAACAGGAAATAGACAAGATGACCCTGGAACATCTTGTCCTACCAGGAAAGCAAGGAAGCTATGAAAGGCTACTAGGGTCTTATCTAAAGGACTCAGGAATCAACATGAAAGGGCTCTCTCTGGTCAACCTTAGAAAACTCTAAGCATTTTTCCTGCCTTTCCTTACACTATACCTCAGGCTAACCAAATAGTTGATGAGATAAATTTCTTTACAGAAGAGTTTCAGCTAATTAAGAAGGAAGAAAAGACTTTCAACATTACCATTTTGCCATTCCTACTGAAATATGGATTCAGGAAATGATCATTAACGGTTGCTAAAACCACTAAGTCATAACCTGATGGGGATGGAGTTTTATAATAGATGGACCAGACTGGCAATACTTGAACCCACTGATCAATATGAACATCTTAGAAAGGGAAAGAACTGAAGTGCTTCCTGATGCACTATAACAGGAAGTACATACTACCAACTATGAAGCATTTTTCCCCCCAAAAATGAACTTGAATCTGATCTGATACAGGGAATAGAGGAACATGTTAAACAACATGAGGGAGAGGATCCATTTATACTCACTCCCTCAGTGATTTCATCCAGTCTCATAGCTTTAAATCTCTCTATAAGCTATTAATTACCAAAATTAAATGCCCATCCTCAATCTTTCCCCTGATTCCAGACTCATCCAGTTGCCTACGGGACATCTTCATTTGGATGTCAGTTGGCACCTCAAACAAGAGAAGCCTTGGTCCTCACCTGAACCCACTCCCCTCCCAGCATTTCCTCTCTCAGCAGATGGCACCAAACTATGCCATCACCCTTGACTCTGTCCCTCTCACACCCCACATCTACCCATCAGAAGAGCCCACTGGCCCTTCCTTTACAATGTACCTTCTTGCCATTACTACTGTTTCTACACAAATTCAAGCAACCTTTATCTCCTTGCTGACCTACTGCAATAACTGGTCTCCTGATTTCCATTTTGGACCAAAGCAGCTAAAGTGACCCTTTTAAAACATCAATCAGGGGCCAGGCCGGTGGCCAAGTAGTTAAGTTCATGTGCTCCACTTTGGCAGCCTAGGGTTTCATGGGTTCAGATCTTGGGCGCGGACCTAGCACCACTCGTCAGGCCATGCTGAGGTGGCATCCCACAGAGCAGACTCAGAAGGACCTACAATTAGAATACACAACTATGTACCGGGGGGGGGGCTTTGGGGAGAAGAAGGGGAAAAAAAAGGATTGGCAACAGATGTTAGCTCAGGTGCCAATCTTTAAAAAAAAACATAAATCAAATCATGTCATTATCCCAACAG